CATTCAATAAATATTTATTATTTGCCTATCTTGTGTCTGGTGAATAAGAGAATCCCAATGCCCCCTGGCCTTACGTGGTGATCAGGCAATTGCAATATTGAATGTATAGGTTCGCAATATGGGGAATATCAGCTTCTCTGGGAGCACTAAGAAGGATCACTGGACTTGGGAAGTCAGAGGAAGCTCTAAGCCTAAAAATAAATAACTATTAAAAAGCAAATAACTGGGCCGGGCGCAGTGGCTCATGCCTGTAATCCTAGCACTCTGGGAGGCAGAGGCAGGTGGATCGCTCAAGGTCAGGAGTTCAAAACCAGCCTGAGCAAGAGTGAGACCCCCATCTCTACTAAAAATAGAAAGAAATTAATTGGCCAACTAAAAATATATATAGAAAAAATTAGCCGGGCATGGTGGCACATGCCTGTAGTCCCAGCTACTTGGGAGGTTGAGACAGAAGGATCGCTTGAGCCCAGGAGTTTGAGGTTGCTGTGAGCTAGGCTGATGCCACGGCACTCTAGCCCAGGAAACATAATGAGACTCTGTCTCAAAAAAAAAAAAAGGAAAAAAAAAGCAAATAACTGTTAGACTTTGGTAAAAATAACTTAAGTCACTCCTTACAGATTATAACACAAATATTTTTTGAGTGCTTATACTGTGCTTGCAATGTGCCATGCATTGTTCTATGTGTGGGGATATATTTTTAGATGAAACAGACACAAGTCTCTGCTGTGTAGGGCTTAGGAGCTACTTCAAGGAAACCAATGAATGGCTAAGAGGATTTCTGGTGTTGATGAGCTCCAGGGGGAAAAAAGCAGGGTGCTGTGGTAAGTATCAGTGCGTGGGTGCGACTATGCTGCAGAGGTTCATCAGAAGAGCCCTCACTTAGCAGGGGACATCTGAACTGAGAACTTCAAGGATACAAAGGAGCCAGCCTGAGAATATGAGAGGGGAACAGCAGGCAGCACCTGCCAAGGCTCTCAGGCAAAAATAAGGTTGGCATATTTGTGCTATTATAATAGAATACCCCAGACTGGGTAATTTATAAAGAATAGTTCTGGAGGTTAGGCTAAGTCCAAGATCAAGGTGCCAGCAAGTTTGGTGTCTGGTTAGTACCTGATCTCTGCTTCCAAGATGGTGTCTTGAATGCTGCATCCTCTGGAGGGGAGGAACACCTTCTTGCATGGCAGAAGAGCGAAAGAGCAAAGAGAGAACCTGCTCCTGAAAGCCCTTTTCTAAAGGCACTAAACCCACCCATGAGGTCAGAGCCTTCATGGCCCACTCACTTCTCAGAGGTTCCCACCTCTTAATACTGCTACAATGGCAATTAAATTTCAAGATGAGTTTTGGAAGGGACAAACATTCAAACTATAGCAGTTGGCATGTTTGTGGGTTCATTGTTTTCCCTAGAAAGTCAGCATGGCTAAAGTGGAGTAAGCAAGAGGGAGAGGGCAGGAGGCAAGCTCAGACAGGTGAAAGTCATGATTAAAAGCCAAGTGCAATAGAAGACCACAGAAAGGTGGTAAGCCACAGAGTGGCCTGATCTGATTTACATTTTGAAATAATCCCTCAGGTTCCTGTGGATGTAGATGCAGTGAGGGGGCTATTGACAGTGATCCAGCCTAGAGAAAATGGCAGCTGGAGTAGGGTGATGGCCGTGGGAGTGGAGAGAAGGGAAAGCTGTCTAGTTTTGCTGGTAGCTTGAATATGGGAGGTAGAGAAAGGAGAGGGATCAAGAATATCACCTGAACTTTTGTGTAGAGAGGGAGGGTGGTGCCAGTTCCTGAGATGGGGAGCTCTAGGGGAATTTGGTACTGGGGAATGGTTGAGAGTTCTGTGTGGGCATGTTAAATTTGGGATACCCATTAGATACCCAGATGGTGACTTTGTGAATTCAGCAGGTCAGGGGTGGACGTAGAAATTTAGAATTACAAATGATATGTAAAACCATGGAACTACAAGAGATCCCTTAGCAAGAGGGGTTAGATAGAGAAAAGAGAGGGCCAAGGACTGAACCAGCTACTAGGCCAGAAGGACATGCTAGCGTCTGGAGAGGTCAAGCAAAGGGAGGAGGAAATTTAACTCAGTAGTGGAGAGCCCTTGCAGTAGACTCTGTCTGCTCAGTTTGTGTCCATAGCAAAGATTCTTGTACTCTCTTTATCTCTTCCACACCGAATCAGTGATCCGGATATTGTGGGCACTCTGTCCAGAGCCTCTCTGATCCCTTATGACTCTCTATGTGTCCTGGGCATTGGCTTCAGTGTTCTTTTGCTTCTAACCACCATCTCCTGTGTCTCTTTACTTAGAGGACTGCGCCCAAGCTACTAGAGTCTCTGTACCCCCAGGCACTCCTGTTAGGATCGAAGCTACAGGAATTTGAGAACCAGGCTCCCTTTTTTCAGATTTAGACAACTTGGAGGCATAAGCTCCACTCCAGAGTTGATTCAGTGTAGAATCAGACTGAAGCTACCCTCTGGAGAGCTTTTGCCTTACTTAGCTAGCATCCCTTGCCTGACCTCTATTGGGAACACTTCCTTAATAGGTTATCAGCCTCGGGGCATCTTAAGATGTGAACTGCGCTTCCCACCTCCCTCCATTTTGGATTGTAGACATTAGTATAGTGTAATCTTTATTGTTAATTTAAAAAGGGATTATAATAAATATTTTAAAGCATCCCTAACTTCTCAAAGTTTTTTTTCAGAATAGTTGCCATTTTTGCTGCCATTAAGTGGAAAAGGATTTTGTTTTTTATCCTAAAGGCAACTGTCTGTTTCTACTGAGACACTTTATTTACTCTTTAATTAAGTGAAAGATTTCCAGAGAGTTGTCTGTATTCACTCTTCCAGCTCACAGAGTACATGTTAATCTCAAACTGATAAAACTATTAGATGATTATTTTCTATTCACACAACCAGCCAATAAAATTATGGAGATTAAGCAAAAAAATAAGAAAGGATGTTTACCAGGGTTTGACAGTTGTAAATGCAATCTCCTTCTAGCACCAGAAGCTTGTGAGCTTTTCTACGCATCCTCATGTGCACATCATTGGGGCTTTCAACTCCGACTTCTACAACAGTCTGTAACTATGATTTGAGCAGGAATTTGAAGCCAATGGCAGGCCGGTGTATCTATGTAGAATTTTCTTTCTGTCTTGAGGGAAAAGTAAAATTAGGTTCTATTTACTTTGACTGGATTTTTATTTTAGAACTTTTGGGGCATTTTAACATTTATACATTAAAAGCACTTGGATCTTTTGCTTTTAAACACTAATTTACAGATCCTCCATTCTTCATACCTCCACCTTCTCTTCCTTCCTCCTTCCCTTCTTTTCTTCTTCCTTTTTTTTAAGAGTAAAACATATGCTAAAATCAAACTTCTATCCTAAGCACCTCATGACACAGGCTTTAAAGTTCATAAGTGGGTTTTTCTTTACTTGTGGTAGAAACTTGTGATAGTTTCTTTTACCTTTATCAATTTTAAGTCTGAGATTAGGCATGTTCAATAGTATTTGTTGAATGAAGGAATCCATGGTGTTATATCCTAGGTACAATCCTGAAGTATTGATGTTGTGCCTTTTCTTCTTGTGCACCTGTGACAAAAGCCTTGGTCTTCAACTCTTATTTCCAGCTCAACTATTTGCCACCAGTATGACAACTATATTGGGAAAATCATTTTTAATTTCTTAGATAAACTGTCTTTGTGTATTTCATAAAATTAAATTTCACTGGATTCTTTTGCAGTGAAACATCTATTGGCACATTCCTTTTCCCTCTAAATACCTCTAAAACACTTGGATTTTGACCACAGATTTCACAATACATTGAGGCATGCAGTTATGAGGCAATATTGCATGCTTTTTCATGTCTGAACAATACATTGAAGTCAAACTGAAGCACAGTTGGAAAATTTTACATCCAATCAAATTAAACCAATAGTAGATTTAATTTTATATTTGCGGTGTAATTGAAAGTATGGGTATCTTCAATTTTCTTTTTCTATTCTGGAATTTAAAACAATTGAATTATTAATAGGAATTGTTAAAAAAAAAAAAAGCAAGCATAAATTGTTCTTTTTCCATTGGTGAACCCATACTTATCTTTCAAATCTTGATGGGAAATAGTATTAAAATTGATCTTAGGAAGGGTGACCATGATGACAAAGCTTAATTCAGAAGATTGAAGTGCCTATTTGCTGTATTTCCAGGTGGGCCAGCCTCACTGGCAGATGGTTGGGTGAGCTCAGAATCTGTGCAAGACTGGCCCAAGTTTTCCAGAAGAGCTTCTGACTGGACTTGACCCATGTAGGGTTTCAGGTAGCAGCTCACAAGCTTTAGGAATTCTGGAAATTCTCCAACATTTTGTAGTTACTCTCAACACCGAGGGTTTATTTGTGAGTGGGTGAGGTTTTCTCTGGGACTCTTAGGGAAATGACTCATGGTGAGGGAGAAATCCTCTAAATTGGGAATCTTGTGGAGAAAGACAAGTGAGATGGCATAAAAGCATCAGTTTAACTTTAAGTATTTGATTTATATATATGTGTATAAGTAAAGTTCTAAAATAAAAATCCAGTCAAAATAAATAGAATCTAATTTTATTTTTCCCTCAAGAACAGAAAGAAAATTCTGCGTAGACACATTGGCCTGCTGTTGGCTTCAAATTCCTGCTCAAACCATAGCTACAGACTGTTTTACAAGAAGGAAATGAAAGCCCCATGTATGTATATATTGTTCTGTTATGCAGAACAATACTTGTCGTAGCAATGGGTCAGAATACTTGAAATCAAGGATGACCCAGAAAATATAGGCTCATGGGCTACTATTATTATAAACTATATCCTAAATAAATAGTAAATGGTACTGATATTAACACTTTTATTATTGTATTATAAATAAATGTTAGTTTTTGCATGTTTAATTAGATGTTATATGTGAATTTTGTCCAGATTAATTGAGAATATTTTGGTTTGCACAACCCAACTGAAGTTTTCCTTCCTATTTGCTTTGAAAGGAATGCGATGTTAATTCTGAGGCATTGATATGTTTTACAATGCCTGATCAAGACAAAAAGGTGAAGACCACAGAGAAGTCAACTGATGAAAAACAGCAAGGAATCACCATCAGGTAATCCCATACTGAATGTTTGCTAATTATTAACTTAGGCAGTGGCTACAGTACATATTTAATGGCTTTTTGAGAAATAGAGAAGACTCGTGACAACTGGTTATAGTGTTTACTAGAATGTTTGATCATTTCTAGATTTCTAAAGGAAATGTTTAGTGTTTACAAGGTTCAGTCTATAAAAGCAGGCCTCCAGGTGGCAATGCCATTGGTGGTTAACATGACTTTGTTCACCTGGAGCCTTCTGTGGGTTGACATTGTGTTATTCTTTCTTCTAGGGACTATTCAGATCTTAAAAGACTTCGGTGCCTTTTGAACGTTCAATCAAGCAAACAACAGGTAGTGTTTTCAAAGGATGTTCATGCAATAATAAAAGAGAAATCACATGTTTCTGAAGGGATCCATTTAGCATCTTTATGAGCGACAAGTCTGCTTTTCGTTGTTTTTTCTCAGATCTTTTCCCTTTCTTCATTTGGCTGTTGTTCTCATACCTGGCTCAGGCTCTGCCAAGATTTGGCATCTACAGTCTTCTCATTCTTCTCTGAGACTGGGCTCTGCTTTATCCTGTGCTTATCACCCTGTGTCCTAATTAGCAAAGCTTTTCCTTTTCAGGAAACAGTGTACTCTTTTATTGAATGCCCAACATTTGGCTCTTCAGAGCTTTAGGGAAATTGGTTTTACCAAAGCACTGTTTACCATATTTTCCTCCTTCTCTCCAACCCCTCCCAATCCTGCCCTCTTGCTATAGAATCACTCTTGAGGCTTGCTGCAAATTATACCTCACCAAAAAGAGGGGAGAGGAGTTCTGGCTATTTTTATATTTTTATTAGACAGAGAAGGAATGGGTACTTCTGCCTGAATTTATCTCCAAACTTTTGTTTTTGGTTTTGCTTCTGTAAGGCTTTGGAAAGTCATGAGATTAGAGTCCATAAATGGAGGTTTGGGGAAAACAAAGCAGTGCTAATAATAATGATAATAGCAGAGATTTATTTAGCACTGTCAACTAGTAAATGGCAGGGATGGGACTTGAACCCTGGTAGTCTGGCTCCAAAGTCTGCTACTTATTTAAGTAAACTAGTTTAAGAGCTCATGTGGTTGGTAATTAAGCCATGATGATTTTTGTTATATCAACCAAACCTACCAGAGAACTATAGCATTTTAATCTATTTTTTTTATACTGGAGAATGACTCTCTTATGATTTGATGGCATATAAACCCTCAATAATGATGGTTCATATTTAAGGAACACTTACTATGTGCCTGATGCTTTACCTACATCATCCTGCTTAACAATTACAGCTCTCACTTTTACAGATGAGCAAACTAGGGGCACAGAAAAATTAAGTGACTTTCCTAAGATTATACAGCCTGCTAATGGTGGAGTACAGTTCTGAACCCAAACACCCTGTCTTTGTAATGCGTGCCTCTAACCACTGAGATAACTTTAAAATGACTTGGGAAATTAAAGTTCAAAAACAAGTTGGGCGAACACTGACTCTGAGTAAACATGGCCTTAAAGTATCTTTTCTCCTCTGAGCCCCTTCTTCTGTGTTAGTGCTACAACTCCCCGGGAGCAATTTTCTTTTTGTCTACCTAGTTCAGCAGTCATCCTTACTGTTGTCTCTCTCCATTATACTAAATTAATCTTCCTGGCTGCCTGCCCACAAACCTGCATGAATGATTGTCCCAAATCAAGCCCATTCTTCCTTCAAGAGGTAAGCAAGATGACTCAGCATACAGCGCTGCTTGTAGTTCCCATTCTTTCCCGCTGTACATCCTACGATGGACCGATGGACCCATAATATGAAAGTCTTCTGCATTTTTTTTTTTTTTACTATTTCCTTCTCCCAAATTTCTTTCTTATAAAATCTTACCTATTTCCAAGACCCAAATCTAATGACCCCACCTCCACGTATCTTTCTTTCTCGATGTAATCCCCCTCTTCTCAAGGCTCCTTCTTTTATTGGTATAGCATTATTTTCTCCCCGGCTTTGGAATCTCTTGTCCACATGTCTTGTTTCCTGACAAGATCATACATTTCCCAATGTTTAGCAACTTTGACTTTTGCCTCTGGTTCATTGTTTACTCGTAGACCTGGTGAGTTCTTGGCCAGTTTTTGCTAAATTGAATTGTGACTTGAGAATTGGGTTACCATGTGAATATGTATAACCTCCTGGCCAGGGCAAAAGAGACACCAGTAGCATTTTTTTTTTGGTGGGGGAGAGGGGACTCTAATTTTCCAACTTTGAAGTTCATGTTGACCATATTTAGTGTATCCTTTTTCAATACCACTATGTATTAACACTTGACAGTCTTAAAATTAATTTAATGATTTTCTTCCCTTTAACCAATCTTAGAACCAGCAATCTATTGTCTGACAGTTTCAATATCTTTTTGTAAAATATTTCACATGTACAAAATACATATTTGTAATGCTTGAATTATTCAGAAAGATGGTTTAAGAAAAAATAAAAATAACTGCCCTCAATTGGATGAAAGTCCTGAGGTTCACAAAATTCATGCCTAATTCTGTTTATAATACTTTCATGCACTTGTAATTTTGAAATAATAAATATTATTCTGAGTACCCTATTATCCTTTTGATAAAAAATGTGGAGACATTTATAGGAGAAGGAAGATACTGAATAACTCAAGAATTTATTTATGCCTTGCTTGTTCCAGAAAGAAAGGAGCTTATAAAGATACAGAAAGTATGACAAGTTATTGTAAATTAAAACCAGGGCCAAAAATAAAAGAAAAACAAGGGTTGGGAGCAAAGTAGAGTTAGGGTCAGGCAGAAATGCTCAACAAAATATGCAAGTGGGCCACACTTTTGGCTCTGAAATTTTCAACAGTCGGTTTGAAAAGGGAAACCTGAAATTAAGACCCACTCACCTGAATTTCTGCTCTAACAAGATGTGGCCTGTTTTTTGCAAATGGGCCAACATGGCCAATTATGGGTTACAGAGGAAGTCTACCTTGTGGGTTTTAGGTGGAGAGTGCAGAGAACTGAATGCCCTTCCTCTGAATCTCTAATGAGCCAGGCCACTTCCCTCATTGTTCCATTGTGTTCCAGTGTTGTACTTTTGCTCTTTGTCCTGATTGTATTTTCTAAGTATTTCTGTATATCTTTCTTCACCGCATTAGAGTCTGCCATTCTGTAGGAAAGTCCCACAGTGTGGGGACAGAATTGGGGACAGAGACACATGGAGGCAGAGAGGTCCCCTTCAACCTAAGCAAGGTTAGAATGATCATAATAACCTAGTAAAACCAAATAATGCAAGAAAAAGGTCTGCTCTAGGGTTGTTGTGGCAAAATTACAAAGCTGATGTAAGATTTCACCTAAGATTTTCACAAATCTTGAAGCAATCTACTTAGAGTAGGAACTCAGATTTTTTTCCCCTATGTGTAGAGCCACAGGAAGTTTAAAATTCATTTGCAATTTAAAAAGAAAGATGGAAGAAATAAAAATATTAGTTCATTAAGGGCCCATTAATTGCCTGGCAATTTAAGAGGTTTTGATAGATGCTATGGAAAGAAAACGCAGGAGCTGTGGTGGTTCTTGTGAGACCAGGCATAGGCACTGATAATTAAGATATAGGGCAAGACATGATCCCAGATTAATGGTATGTGCAGTAGGTATATGCATTTTGAGGAGGAAAAGGAGGCTACTTTTAGCTTAAGTGACAGGGAAGGAGATGGTTTTTGATAAATGGGCTAGTTTTCCATCAGTGGAATTGATGGAAAAGGCATTCTAGATAAAGTGAGTAAAATAATCAAGTATCTGAAGGAAGGAAAATGACAAGTATTTAACGAAAATGGTAAATACACATTTCTATTTGAAGTAGTGATAAATAAAGCTAGAAGATACTGTGTAGTGTATGAAGGCCCATCTATTATTATAATTTTTTATGTGATCCAATAAGAAATAGAGAATGTAGAAATTTCCAAGTGGAAGTGACATGATCACACTTTTTAGGAAGGCCCTGAATGATGCAGCCTTTCCTTCAATCTTATCTCTTTCCTTTCCACTCATATCGTTTGAGCTACACAGATACTTTCCAGTTTCTAGAGCATATGCCATTCTTCTCTGCCTTCCAGTCTGTGTGATGATCTGCCTGGGATACTCTTAACATTCTGGTCTACGACCTGCCCTGTCTCTCCTTTGCTTTCCACCACAACAAAGCCTTGTTTACTAATTTTGCAGCATGTTTCTCATGCTTGTTGTTTACTGTGACACTCCCTTCCTCACTGTGGGACTATAAACTCCTTGAAGTCAGAGGCCATGGCTATTCTTCTTATCATATACCTAATGTCTCACACAATGGTGCATGATGTATCTGCAACAGATGTGCTGAATGGACTAACTCATCCAGAGATGGTTTGCCAGATGAATTAGTTTAGCAAAGAGACTGGGGGTAAAGTGAGCATTCCTTCTACAGTTTCACATTTGAATACCTACTGTATGTCAGGCTCTGTGAGAAGTGCTAAGAACACAATGATACATAGATGTGGGGCTGCCCTCAGAGTAGCTGAATTCAAGGGGAAAAGGCTGATGTGTAAAGTAGACATTGTACTAGACTGTGATAAGTTTTGTAAGAGAAGTAAGCATCATATGGCCACCAGAGAGGGAGTGAATATCTCTACCCAGGAAGGCTTGGGCAGGTGCTCATTGGGAGGCTGTGTGAGCTGATCCCTGACACATGCCCAGGTGTACAGATGTCAGACACACAGTTTCTAAGGAATTGGGGAGCCAGGAGAAAAGGCTTTGGGTTTTGAACCAGATTCTGAACTTACAGTGTTTTTATGTGAAGAGTGCTTGGTTGGTTCAAGATTCCTGCTAAGTTCTTGGTCTTTGCAACTATAGATGCCTAGCCCATTTTATCTACCCAGTCTTCATGAGTTGATTTCCAATACTAGCTGCCTGCTCTGCCCACAAATGCAATGGCTGCAAGCTCCTGCAGTCTTCTGACCATCTCCCTTGTGTGGCCTGGGCTTGCTTTCTCTGTGCTGGCTATCTTATCTCTTACAAACGGTATTCTGGGAGTTGTGCTAATGGCAAGAGCGTTTGAAATCCCTTGGGCCTGGACAAACTGCTTCCTGTTTGCTGTATGTCATGACATTTCGTGTATAACACAGGAAAACTTTCTTGTTTCTGTGACTTCATGTTCAATATCATTTGGGTTATCAGTTCACATTTGGAACTCACCTAATTTGTAATGACAAATTTTATTCGTTTACGAAGTTCATCTGAAGATTAAAAGAGTATTTATGAAGCACTTAGAACTATGCCTGGCACATAGCAAATGCTTTATAAATAGTAACTAATTTAATTTTCATAATAACTCTGAGTTACATACTATCATTAATATTTCTTTTTTAGTGATGTAGAAACTGATGCACAGAGAGATTAAGTAAATTTTCCAATATTATGCAGCTAGCTAACTGTCAATTTAAACCCAGGGAATCTAGCCAGGGAATTTATTTTCTTACCCACTAAGCATTGCTGCTTCAAGTGCCTATCATATTGTACTGTGGTCATTGTAGACTAGCTGACTGATCTGAGGTAGAAAGGTAGTTTCGCAGAAATGGAAGATTATTAATATTTTGAGAATTCAACTGTGGCTGGCATACAATGATGAAGGATTTTGTTTTTGCTAGCTATCTAACAATGTCCTTATTATAATGACTACCTTCTGGGAAGTCAGGCGTATTCTCTTTGTATAAGGAAATGATGTCTTTATACTGTTTCATACTATCAAATATTTTAATGGAATAAGATAATAAGTACAACACATTATAGCTTTATTTGATAATTATAAAGAATGAAATAATTTACTGAAAAATGAATCTTTTATTTTGTTATATTATGCTTTGCTTAGCTCTTCTATCATAATTTAGTAAATTTTAGAACATTCCTCACTTGTACTTCAGAAAAATTAGAGTATTTGTCCCGTGCTCGACTTTACTGTAGTGCTAGAAACAAATCTCAGGGTTATCTCAATTATAGGTGAATATTGCTAAGTGAAACTGCTTGAATACTGATAACTATATATCATTTATTATATGAATAATTAACTAGTTTATTATATGAATAATTACTATGTGTAAGTGGACACATAGTTGTTATAGTTAAATTTTTACTTATGGTGAATTCTGTAATGTATTTTAATGTCTTTTATAAATATGATTGAGTAATCATGATGTTCAGAGTGATTAAAAGTGATAAAACCTTGGCTAGCAGTGTGTATACTTGGTAAATGATGACTCATTCTCAATTTGGACACTCTACTCTATAGCAAAGTATTCTACCTGGATTCAGGAACTATTTAGTCTGGGGGCACATTTTAATCACATGAGAAGCTTCGAAAACTCCTCTTTCCCAAGCCTCCTGTATTCCTAGCACTATTTTAGGTGCTGGGGAAATAGCATTGAACAAAAAACCCAGGTAATTTCCTATTTGTGTCCAGGTAACATTATAATCAAGGGAGACTGAAAATCCATAAATAACTGTAAGATATGACAAGTGGTATTACATGCTATGAAGAAAAATAAAGCAGAAAAAGGTAGAGAGAGTAAATGTTTAGGTCAAAGATACTGAAATCTGGGAGAACCCCTACATTTGACATGGCTGGCATCTTAATTATTGGCCTGGGAAAAGGCTTGTCCTCTGCATCCTCTCCTCTCCCTCCTACCATTTTGTTACTTTCTTTATCCTGTGCTGAATTGTGATCCTCACGTACTCTGTGCTTCTATTTCTGTAGCTTCCAGCCATTAACTTCGATAGTGCCCAAAATAGCATGACGAAGTCTGAGCCCGCCATCAAGGTGGGTGGACACAGAGTTCGAGGTCAGTGGCATGAGTCCACAGAAGCTGTTGAACTTGAAAATTTTAGGTAAGAAATCCAGTATCTCCCTTGCCTTCAGCAAACTATTCTAGTTAGCCCAAAGTTTTATTTATCACAAGAGCTAAAATTGAAAACATGTTTCAAAATTTACCATGGAGATTCTTAATATTTTTACTTAGTGCTTAAACCATTCCGAGAAACAATGTGTAAATAACAAGCTTAGTGGTTACAGGTGGAGCTGACCTGGGAGTTTTAGGACACTATGCTGACATGCATTTGGCATTTGCTCAATGAGGAAGTGGTTCCAGATTATTGACCTGGCTAGGCTAATTCCAATCTTTGTCTTAGCTTTTGGTCTGTCTAGAATAGATCTTGCCAGTAATGAGAAGGCATAAAAGAAGCTGTTGCTGTGAACAGATGTGGTGGTTAAAGAACATGGTTGTCAAAACAACCGAGTCTTTGAGTTGAAGGGATAGCACCTCACCTTTAACGTTGAAAGTGTCAGCCCTTATTTATCTCTGTTGCCATGTAGACCTCCTAGAAGTTGCACATTCTTGGGGGCCACTCCACTTTCAGTATCTAGTTCTCTCAGTTTTATAATGTGCTCAGGTCAGGTGGCACTAATTGCCAGGTAAATAATGAATAGCATGAAATATCAGTATAAATATTTGAGAATGATCGTCTGTTTATTTGGCCTAGATTTTATTTCCCTGTCATTTTATAGCAATGAATTTGATAGTTTAGAAAAGTCACATGATGTGGCATGGGTTCATATTTCAAAAATATATTTTTCAGTGAGGAACACTAAATCATTTAAAAATTGTTATGCATTCAGTTTATCAGTATCCAAGTAAAGAAACCATTGCAGCCCTCACCTGGCTAGGGAGAGGTGGCGCCATCTAATGGCCTCTGAAAGACTGCAAAGGCAGAATGTTTTGGCAACATAAGGTCATAGAACTTGCATTTGAGGTGGTATGTTCATGTAATTCCAGTTTATTTGAAATAGATCTTAAAATTAGTCTAATTATGCACAAAAATATTGTATCATGAAATCTGTATCAATTTGATGCTTTTATTATTCCTAATCTTCTCCAAGTTTTAAAAGTGGAATGTTTTAGGTGTATTTTTAACCTCTTTAGTGAGCTGTAATATCAGCAAACTGAAGCTGAAGCTGGGAATATCTCAAAACTTTGTTGAAAACACACACACACACAAAACATATAAGACAACCAAACAGTCAACACAGCTGAAGGAGTGTAGACTGTGTTTAATAAATCCTTATTATCAAGGAATTATATGTGACAACCAAGCTGGTGTTGATAGCTGGATCAGCTAATAAGGTCAAAGGCATGTGGAAAAGTGAAGGGAGGGAGTTTGTTCCTTCCTGTTGACATAGCTTTCTAAATAATGTGCCCCAATAATTCTTTCTCTCTGTATGCCCTTCTCTTCTCTCCAACTAATTTTAGCTTCTAAATGTCTATAGGGAAAGATGTAATAATATGGGAAATGAAATACATATGCTTGGCTATAATGTGTCTCATTAATTTATAATTGAATTTCTAGTTCCAATTTTTTTTTTTTTTTTTGAGACAGAGTCTCACTTTGTTGCCTAGGCTAGAGTGAGTGTCGTGGCGTCAGCCTAGCTCACAGCAACCTCAAACTCCTGGGCTCAAGCTATCCTTCTGCCACAGCCTTCCCAGTAGCTGGGACTACAGGCATGCGCCACCATGCCCGGCTAATTTTTTTTTGTATATATATTTTTAGTTGGTCAATTAATTTCTTTCTATTTTTAGTAGAGGCTGGGTCTCGCTCAGGCTGGTTTCGAACTCCTGACCTCGAGTAATCCGCCCACCTCGGCCTCCCAGAGTGCTAGGATTACAGGTGTGAGCCATCGCGCCTGGCCTATAGTTCCTATTTTAATAATTGATACTTGGCTTTTACACAATGTTAAACACAAGACTCCTTCAATATTTGCCTGAATATAGATGATCTTTATCTGCATCAGTAACTTTGAGGCAGCCTAAATAATTTTTATAACAAAATGCTTTTCTGTTTGTTTCATCTCAGTATAAACTACAAGAATGAGAGAAATTTCAGCAAGCATCCCCAGCATAAACTATTTCAGGAAATCTTTACAGCCTTGGTGAAAAATAGACTCATATGCAGGTAAGATTTTCTTTGGAAAGATGAGAAGACTGTCACTCAAAAATGACATGTTTTGTATATCTTATCTCTAGAACATATTATAATTTGATGCAGTTTACAAAATTGAGTACAATGTGAAGGGTAAAATAGAACAAAGACCATTTTAAAGGAGGTAATGAGTAGGCATTATAGATGATCTCATTGAAATCACTCGGATTAGGCACTGAATTTCACTGAATTTTATGACAGATAACGTAAAATGGGAAAACACTCAAGTTATAAAGTTTTCCTTATTTTCTTTATTTTGAGTTTGAATACTCAAGGAGGAGTTTTATCGGGTGGGTCATTATGAAACAGACCTTGGGTAACATCAGGGACAAGATCCTCAGAGTTTCTGCAAGTCAGTGTAATGACTGATTAAATGGGCTGCCCCAGCCTTGACCTTGAGAAAAGAAAGGATGATGAGTATGTAACAACCAATCACAGCCCCATAAAGATGTTTCTTCTTAGGACCAAATCAAATATTTCTTCCCTCGCCCTTGCATCTGTCTTAACATAGGTGCAGTGTTGGGAGTGTAGAGCAAGGGTTAGTTAACAAGTCTTTTAGATTCTCTCTCATGAATATCAAGGGTTTTCAGTGAGCAAACTTTGACTGGTGCTGGGTTGCAGTCAGGATTGAATTCTCTGTGGATTCTGGACTGCTTCCTATGAGATCTGGGTATGCTGCTGGCAGATGTGGAGGAGGCTCCAGAACCCTGCCTTCTACTCTTTCCAGGAGGCCCAGACTCTCTTCCCACATGGATCACCTGAAAAGATGCCTGTAAAGAACCTTAAATCTTCCTTATCACTTTGGGACTCAATTGACATATCTGAATTCTGCCCCAGAAAGAATGGGAAAAAATTATTCCTCCTCAATAATTTAATGCCTTGATCAAAACAAAACTCTGACTTGGCCTAGCACAATAGTTGATTTTAAGTATAATAGAACAGTATCCCGATGGGTCCTCCATGATGAGACAGCTACTAAATGCATGCCTGAATGGTGGCCTAATTCCTCTGTCTTTTGGATGGGGTCATTTAGTATTGCTCATTTAAGTACTAGACAGTGACTGCCAAGTATATTGGCTTAGTTTAAAACAATACAGGATTGGGACTGCATCTGTCATGCCTTTGTACTTAATTTAAGCAGAGGAGTATTAGACTGGCCCAGAGGATACAAGATGCCTAAAATCTTTACCAAGGTTATGTAATAGGGTTATAGTTCAGTTCTTGCTGATACACTCAAAAATTGTTCAAAGATTTCATGAATACTGCATGAAAAGGACCTGCAATTGTTCTTGACTATGTTCCTCTTGAGCTTGAACAGAGTAGAACAATGGTTAGTAGCAGAATAATTATGCATGAGATGGTGTTAGGAAATAAAGTTCTTTAATTTTTTTTTTTTTATGACAACTAACATGGACTCTTCAAAGGATGTTTAGTAGACCATTTGTTAGGTCAGTACTTTGGGGAAGGCCCTAGATGCAGAAATTGTTAGGGACAATAATTGGGCAAGAGTTGGCATCAACCAGTTGAAAAAGATCTCAAACAGTCTGACATTAAGAGATCTCTTTTTAGGGCCTTTTCAAATTCATAGCGATTAATGGGACATCTTAGATTAGATGGAGCTACTGGCTTTTAACATGAGTAGTCCCTGGAAATCTTTAACCTAGGAAGAGATAATTGTAGATCTCTTTGCTTTCACAGCATGAGAAGGAATTTAGGAATGCTAAACATCAAGAGCATCCTTTTATGTTATCCTGTGGCTGCTGACAGATTGTTATGTTCAGTTCTATTCTAAAAGCAGGGTTGGGTAAAAGATGGCTTAAGTACAAAGGCCTTCCATTATGCCTCACCCCACATAACCTTGCTAAGATGGCCAGCACCACATTTTTTTCCTCTCTCCCCTCTAGCATTAGACTAACAGAAGAATTGCATCTCAGGGCCCTTTTTTGATTATGGCTTCCTATCCCCTTTCTTGGCAAACATCAGATTTAGTATTGGTTAGAAGGCTTAGATTCAATTTAATAAACAAACTGATGAGCATCTACTATGTGCAAGGAAGGGAGAAAACAGATGGTGGGGAAGGAAGAGTGGGGGAAAGTACAAAATGAGCAGACGTGTGGTCTCTTTCTTCCTGGGGACTCAAAGTCTACTCTGATCAGCAAAGCAATTACCCAATATCCCAATGCAAGGGGAAATGTGGTAAATATATACAATTTATAGTAAAACAACTAAAGGCTGCATGAAATCAGGGTGGGGAGCTATTTTGGTCCTTGGCCCAATTCTGGTTGTAGACAAGATTGGGCATATTCAGGGTATTATGCCACTCAATTTCACCCAGATAATATGACTGATTGGATTTTAGTCTTAACTGTGAAGTTTTACCCCTTCCAACCCCTCTCTCAACTTTTGCCCAGTTGATGATGATATTGTTCCTCTTCTGTTTAACTCTCCCCAACTGTACTCTTCCCCTAAACCACACTTGCAGATGTCTCCTTTCTGGGTTCTTTTCCTAAGATCAACCTCTAATTGCTCCCTCATTCTCGCAGTGAAATTGCCAGGTGGTGTCCAAACTAGACAAGACTTGTTAATCCAGACTCAGATAAGGTAACACTGCAGATGCCTCGTGGTAAATCTCAAAGGGCAAGGGAACATATCCCTGACCCTGAGGTAACTCCTAGTTACACAATGGTAACTAATCTTGGTGTGTAGTAAGGTATGCAAACAAATTTTGGTCTTCAGCCTTCCTTTCTGTCATGACAACATTTGTCTTTAGTAGAGTCTGATACTAGAAAATAAATTCACCTCTTTTCCATTTCATTTGCCTGAACAAGAAAGTACAAGGGGTGCTTGGTATCCATGGCCAAGTTGTTATGAGGTTGGGTATGGAGGTAAAAGTTGTCACAACATTGACATATTCTCTAATTAATTGACCACTTATAAAATTGACCTCTATTCAAATAACTCTTCTGCATATCTGCTTCTCTGAGTTTCCTCTTTGTTGGCCCATTCCTTGCTGATGTGAAGATACTGTAATATAATGTAAAATATAATTTACTTGTGAAATGAACTTGAAAATCTGGCTAAAGATGTAGGATGTCATGAAGTTATTGAAAGTGATGTTGCTGAACTGGTGGAATTTGACAAATGAGGCTCTGGTGGAATTAGACCATTTGACAACTGAGGAAGAAAGTATTAACAAGAAAGATGACAAGATGCTACTTTAAGGGTATGTTTTGAATAACAGAGATTAGGGCCGGGCGTGGTGGCTCACACCTGTAATCCTAGCACTCTGGGAGGCTGAGGCAGGTGGATGGTTTGAGCTCAGGAGTTCGAAACCAGCCTGAGCAAGAGCGAGACCCCATCTATACTAAAAAATAGAAAGAAATAAGCTGGACAACTAAAAAAAAAAAAAAAAAAACTCTCTCTCTCTATATATAAAATTAGCTGGGCATGCTGGTGCACGCCTGTAGTCCCAGCTACTTGGGAGGCTGAGGCCCAGGAGTTTGAGGTTGCTGTGAGCTAGGCTGATACCACGGCACTCTAGCCCAGGAAACAGAGTGAGACTCTGTCTCAAAAAAAAAAAAAAAAGATTAAGAGAGGTCTTTGGAAAAAAAAATGATGAATCCTTTCAATAGATTCACAAAAATGAACCTCTTTATGCTGGAAGTCAAAAGTGAATAAAGAACATTGGATCATGTTATATGCTTCTTTTTTAGAAAAAGTGTACCAAAGATGTTAGCAGAAGTCATTCTTGCTTTGTTCTAGTTACCAGAGCAGTGTTGCAGTTACAACTTAAATTTTGTTAAATTTAAAATAAAATATATCTTAGTTTCATAATTTTTTAAAGCTAATGTTTTAATCTTTCCCCCTGCTTTTTAATATGAAGTTTGGTGTTATTTTAAAGTGGGTACACTTAGGCCTCTTTCTGGTGCTATTATTCTAGAATAACCAGGATATCTCTCTTCTCCTGTCCATAACTTTTGTAGAGGTGAACATGTCTCACGTACTCAGAAAAAAACCCACCTGATTCATTTAATATGATATTATTTGACTAAAAGTTAATTCACTTTTCTGAAAAGAACAAATTGGTATCCTTATTATTTTACCCCCCTTTTCATGAAATATCTGCTAAAAATTCGAAGAATTTTGGAAATAAGTCTGTAGAAAGTATAGATGGGGAATATGCTTACACTATGTACTTCTTGAACTAGGAGAAAACATTGCAATCTTATTAGAAATTCTTATAAAAAGTGTTCTGGGAACTTTATAGAAACTGATAACCAAGAGGATCAATATAGTGATTTGTTTAGCAATGAGGCAATTTGTTGTCCATGTCCACTTCAGGGCCTAGATTATGAAGCAAGTGACTCTTTTTCTTCTGAGCTTCACCTTGTCCTTAGCATCACTGATCCAGACCCGGTCACGGAGGGAGGTGAGATGAGAGGAGCAGAAATTAGGATTAGGATTAGGATGCAGTGAGAATCTTTTCAGTGTTTTGAATAAGTTCTTGAAACAAATGAAGTTAATGGACAGATGCTTTTTCTGTGACTTTATCTCTAATGAGATCTTTATTAGAGATAAAGTCAGAAATAAAAAGTCAGAGGCAACAGGGGCCTTTGTACTCCTCATTGCTGAGGAGAGGAGAAGTCTGATCGCTTGGTAAAGTCTGATAGATAGTTCAGAACCTCCTTAGAGAGAGGGCTGCAAGCCAGCACCATAAAATGGATACAGACAAAGTTTCATTAAGGCCCCCAAAGTCTCAGGTTCGTGTCTTTATGTACTTAAAATTTAACAGCCAGTTCCTTAGCTGGTTCACAAAGTTCTTTGAGATCTCATTCCTTCTCAGCTCATCTCTTATTCCTGCCCAGTGCATCTTCTGGGCTCATGGAGGCCATTACCCTAAGCTTGACAACCTTAAATGTAGACACGAAGAAAATGAGCCTCAAAAAAAAACCCCAAAAAAACTAGGATATCAT